AGGCTTTTAATAATCAAGTTATTAGTATCTTGCTACTAGAACTTCTACCATACTTATAAGTAAGGTAGTCGATATAATGACGTACCTACCTATCTACCAATGTTTAAACAAAAATATTTTCATTCTCTTATTCTCATGTAAGGCAACATTCTTCCCTAAGGATGTTTTAATTCTTTTGGATTTGACATGTTTTTATCTTACGTAAATCTGTGAATACTTAAGTTTGTGTGAAAGTACTAGATGACGCCTAAACAAGCCCAAAGCTTAAGTGTATTCCTTTTTTACAAGGATCGTCATATTGAAATGCAGATTCTCGACGGAATCTGGATTGGAAATAACTTTAGATTATAGATCGTGTATAAAAAGCGGTCGTAAGTAATTTCAGAAACGTAAGGATAAAAAACGTACGCACACCAAAAGTTTGAAATCGAAAGCAGTTCTACTATCTTTAGTGCGTAATATGTCCTGAGCTCTGTATGATTGGATACATGAGTAGCAATTATAGTTTATAATTTTTTGCCCAATTCGCCGCAGTTGGTGATCCCTGGCAAATTCGCAAAAACAGAGATTTGACCCCGTCGTCGCTTGCTTTGGTAACCTGACCCGGCACGCCCATCGCTCTATTCATGGCGCGGTCAGGATTACACGGCGCCTGCGTCTGTCAACGTTGTTATGATGTATGATCGGCGACATAAAAAAACTATTGATAGTTTGCCGACCTTTGAGCTCTGCCGATTCTATGTCAATAAAGATTAAATACTAGGTATTCCGAACATAACTACATAAGATATATAAGTACATAGAATTCGCCAAGGACGTTACAATTTACATCCAGCGCAGCTTTGTTATTTTAATTTACAGTCGAATTAAAGAAAATAAGTAAAATTGTTTTTCTAGAATCAATCGAGTAGGTACCTAATGGTTTATGTAATTTAAAAAGTACGATGCGCGGAAAGTAGACAGCTCTACATTCCACCACTGCACAGGGAGTCTAGCCCATACCGCGAAGGAGAAGCTCGATCTTCTAGGCTGTCTCTTTGTGTCAAACTCCACTTTGGGTGACCAAGGGAAGGCACCACCGACATTATTGCGGTATGATACTACGATGCCGAAGTTTTTATGCCTGCAACGTGCTATCCGCAAAGCTTTATCTTCCTTGGATCTTGGTTTGGATCCATAAGTCGAGCCGGCCTGATGGCATCCTCTCAATTGTGCTGCGTACTTGTCGGGTTAGCTCTCGTCTTAAGACGCGCCTTTTCCGGTACCTGTTTTCGCTAGGCAAAGTACCTAAGCGCTGGAAGACCGCTTCAATACATTCGACCCCTAAAAACGGCAATAGCTATAACCTCCTCTCGTAGCTTCTAGCCTATGGGCTCCCCGAGAAATTATGCAACTGGACTTCCGCTGAGCTTTCGCGCTGATCGGAGCATTAAGGAGCATCCACGGAGCATAACTACGTCCACCGACATCCATTGACGGACCTACTATAAACCCGTGAACGCTGGGGTCCCACAAAGCTGTGTCAAATTCAAAATTCATTTATTCAGTTGAATCACGTGATCACATTGAACTGTCAACTCTACCGACTGTTGGGAATCCCGTCCAGCACCCAAGGAGAAAGGCAAGAACCTCCGGCTAGGTGTTTTTTGATCGTCTTAAGTTATTTACAATGCATAAGTATATTGGTTACAATTAAATTAAATAGTTGGAGCAAATTATTATTAATTCCAAGCTTCCTTATCTTCTAGGTAATCTGATATTTTATAATAAGCTTTCCTAGAGAGCTTCTGTTTTATAATTTTCTTAAACTTATTATTTGACAAGTTTACCACATCACTTGGTGGTTTATTATAGAAGCGTACAGTTTGACCTATGATTGATTTATTATTAACTTTATGGAGCCTAGTTGTGGGAACAGCGAGTTTGTTCTTATTTCTAGTGTTATAAATATGATTGTCACAATTTTTTTCAAACAAGTGTATGTTTTTATGTGCATATGTAATATTTTCATAGATATATTGGCAAGGCAAACATATTTATTTCCTCAAACATATTTTTTTTATTGACTCTCTGGGACCCATTTTGTAAACTGCGCGAACTGTCCTAGGTATTCTAGGTATCCCGTTTATTCTGCATATCAATAATATGTTGCAACGTCATTCATTGCTATGCGGATGACAACACTGGGGATACTCTTTACCGGAACAAACTAGTGTCTGAAGTCGAAACTCTGCTGCGTGGAGTTTTAGACTGGGGTAGACTAAATCTAGTCCAATTTAATCCCAAGAAGACACAAGTATGCGCGTTTTCCGGTAAAAAACCCCTTTGTCGCTACTCCTCTCTTTGAAGTCTTAAAGAGGAGTAGTAAGTAGGAGTAGCGACAAAGGGGCCCTTAAAGCCTCAGCTAGCATCAGAATACTGGGCGTTGACATATAGAATGACATGTGCTCAGCAAGGCAACACGATTGGTGTAAGTAGATTATAAGTGTATATTGTTATTTTGTTGTTAAAGTTGTGTATTTTTAAACCCTTGGCAAAAGTGCAGATAGTGGTCCAAATAATAATCATAATTTTAATATTCACAAGCAGTCGCTTTCCTTTTAATTACGTTGTTGGTGCGTGGAGCCGATCCTGGCGTCAAATGTCAATTTAACTGCGGCCGGGAAAATAAAAAATCTCTAGTTTTTGTTGCCGCACTTTTTCTGCGCTCGTAAAATTTGTTATTAATACAGTAAAATTTCGGATTAGGTGGTATTAAATTCGAAACAAAGCAACGATTTAATTGGTACTTCGTGTCCGGACGTCGATATTTTGTTCCCAGCGTAATATTCCTTTATTGTTTTCGGTTGTAAACCAAACTCAATTCTGCGATCTTTAATAAAACAATGCACAAACAATTTCTGACTTTTAATGTTGTTACAATGATTTTAAATTATAGTTTTGAAGCGAAAAACACTATCTATTCTACCTATCAATGTTCTAAACTGAGCAAACAATTCTAACGAGAGTGAGAAGAAGAAGAGACAAGGGATAGACATTATGGGCAATGTTTACAATGAAATACAATGCTGTTCCTTCATCATCCATAGATGAAGTAATCGATGAAGTAAATAGTAAAAAACTTTTTACTAAAATAGTCTATTACGGAAGAGTTATTTAGGGCCGCTATATCGTCTAATCTGCAGACAGACGATTTACCATGACGGTCAGAACATTGTATTTAATCATACTGAACTTAAGAGGGATTGCATATAATAATTTTCATTACTAATGTATACGTAGTATGCTTTTGAATGCCACCTGACATTGCATTAGTATTATTATTAGTAGTATTATTACACAGATTAAACAGAACATGAGCCAATACTATCGTGATGTTACTTCTTCGGTTTATTTATTAGGTACATTCGAGTGGACTTTAAGATTAATCTTACTTTTGAATAATCCTGTCACCAGGTCTTACGAATTTCACATGAAAACCATACCATCCCGTCTTTAAATCCAAGGAAATTATTTCTTTATAGGTATATCATTTTTATAAGAAGATCCTTAGCAAATTACATTGTGGAAAGTAAATTGATTTTTTATGATTACCAATCACTAATTGAACTTTACAGTCTAGTTTGTTTTTGAACTTATAATTTTAATGGGTTTAAGGAAAAATATAAGATAATGTGATTCTCAAATAGTTTTATTTCTCGAAATATAAGTACAACTTTATAATATCTATATATTAGAACTTACTTTATATGACACATAATACTTACCTAGAACTTATGTAATAAATGTTTAAACGTTTTACTCAAGAAGATCTGTTATAACATTAATGTTGTGTCTAATAAATTAAAACAAATACAAACTTCTCTTTCAACGAATATTTCCTAGCTTAAAACCACAGGTAACAAAAAATAGGATTTTGTAAAATGAAGAAATCTTCAGATTCGTTGACCCTTTGACTGCTATTTACATAATTAATAAGGGTCTGTTTCACAATGTATGGATAAAGTACCGAATAGCTATGCAACACAAATTATTTGGAAGATAAATTGTGCTATTTGACATTCATCGGACTCTATAACTTATGATGGACTTTATGTGACGAATAGCGCTATCTGACAGTCGTGAAACGCAACAGTAGTGTTTGTCCTACCTAATCATTACTTAAATATATTTGTTAAGTATACATTTCAGTATTTAAGTAGATTGCCCATTCGTTTCCGTTTCTTAAGGCCGTTAATTTAAACTTAGTAATAAATAGGTATTTACATATCGCACCTTGCTGAGGTAAAATATAAACATACACACATACCGAATTATTATTTTAAACTCGAATATCCACGTTTAATACTTAAATACATAAAATACAACTTTATCCGTTCGAAATACATTTCAACGTTTAGATTCATAAAAATAATTTCCTAATCAATTTCAGAATATAATTTAACTCTGTATAATCTACTTATATCCTTACATTATCAAATTATGTATAATTTACATGAAAACTGATAAAATTATTATAAGATTATTTACAATTAATTAATACTTGGTCAAAATGAAAAAACTACTAAAATATCTCTCTCTCTCTCTCTACCTTGTGTCATCTTCTCCGTTCACGACTACAAATCTCGAATGACATCGATGGTGTAGAATGTCGAGCCAAATAGAATACCAAAACCTTTTAACAGGGAGTTAATAATAAGCTGACTACAGCGAAGCAATAAAGAACATGCTTGTTATATTGCTGTTCTACCTAACCTTTGGTAAATTCATTGTAATAATTCATTTAAAATTTGACGTCATCTCACATCTTTGTTGTGGGCAAATCTGCAGAATGACATTCTCGTTGGTAAATTAGGCATGTTTGATGCTGGAATGCTGTTTGCTGTCATTGATGTATTCACCGTCATATTCGGATCTGTCATGTGAGACGGTGTCATGACTGTTGTAGCTGCTGGCCCTGCAACGAGGTTTGTGGTAGACAAGAACGGAGAGATTGGTGGTCATATGGCGTGGGCATGCGCGTGCGGCCCCGTCGGCTGGTGGGGATGGGGTAGGCCATGCGGCGCGCCTGTCGCATGTTGACGACCCTGTATATAAATATATTTAGTTAAAAATGTTACTCTGGTAGCAGTTTTAGTTGATATACCCCAGTAGGAAAGTTATTTGTAAGTCGCTTGATTTGAATCAAAACAAGTTTGTTTTTGATTCCCGATGACCTCCGTGCAACATATTATTTGAAATTCGGAGTAAGAAGAATGTTTTAACAACCTGTCTACTATAAATTAAACCTGTGCAGTCTACTGCAAATATCATATCCTTAACTCGGCATCGATTTTAGTGAAACGTTTGTGCTTTGGAAGCTAATAGCGTTGAAAAATGGCGAATTACTCACTTGTAGGTACATATAATAGTCGTAAGGCTGATGCAAAGGCCAGCATCTCTGTGGGGGCACCGGATAGAGAGGTGGGACGGGGTATAGGGCACCCCCGAGTTTGTTTCTTAAGATCCGGCTAATACTGGAGACGGAAGGCACGTTGTATTTATCACACACTCCATCCGCAAGTAATCTGTCCCTAATCTCCCAAGCGAATATTCCTGGGTCTTTGGCTTTTAACTGCTTTATGTAAGACACCACCTAAAAATACATAAAACTGTAAAAACTAAAAATTTACGTGTATGCAACTCCGAGTGAGTTAATTTCATATAAACAATCGTGACCTATTTATATTAAATACTATTAGTATAGTATATTTAAAAAAAGTTTTATAGATATCAGATGAAAATACATATTTTGTATTTGTTTTTTAGATACTTGTATCTTAGATAAGTTGCAATGCAATGTAGAATAATAAAATTGTTTGTCAGCGTTAATCTTTCGACAGATCTCACCTTTGGTGTCGTAACTCGAGGTTTGGAGCCCCCAATAGCCCCAGGCAAGATGGAGCCAGTCTCGTGGTACCGAGCTAGGATCTTTGACACACATCCGTGAGAAACTCGCAACTGTCGGCTTATATCACACGGCCTACAACAATGTCAACATATTTATTAAGGTTATTTTAGCAGTCAGCTAACGAAAACAATTCTTCCATAATAACGCACATCCAACTTAGTTTGTGTTTATTATAAGTTCATTACAATTGAAACTAAAAAAACAAGTTTTAAATAGTATTTTAAGCCGTCAGTACTTGGTAAAGTACCTACCTGATCCCTAACTGAGCAAGTTCTACAATCCTAAGGCGAACCGCGTTAGGTAAAGGTCGTCCGTTAACAAAAACGCCCCCCAGCTGGTTCACCTCACCGTACTGCTGGCCCCCAGCGGACCCCATTCCTGTGTTGCCCATTGCTGTTGCATTTGGATCTGTAACAAAATGAAACAATGAAAATTTTAATTGTACCTTGTACTTAACGAAGCACATTTAAGTAAATCTATTTCAGTGATCAGTGACAAATGTCAAGGCGACGTACGGAGGCGGCAATTTGTTGAACAAGACCGCGCCGACAGACCTGATGAATTGCTGGTCGCTCCTCTATTTGTGATGTCGGAATAATTGTTGGGCGTCTTCACACCGCTTATCTTGAAATACTATTTGTTAATAAATTGTTTGATTTGACAAAAGTGTCTGCCAATATATTAGCCTCGGTTTCATCAAACGTTACTCTATTCATTTTAATAAGGGTAAATTTATTTCAGCATAATATAATTGCATGGCAAGTTCTTGTAGGTAATTATAATAATGTTTATTTTATGTGTTTCATTTCAATTATCTATTATAGGTATGTTATGACTTCCTAAGTGTCGTTATACGCATGGTGCTGTTTCTATTTATTTTGTAGATATGTATTTGTACTAAAAACCCAATTAGTTGGAAAGGGTTAGATTTTTGTAAAGTTTTATTTAGTTGTATGTTAATTTTGGTTTATAGTTATATTCTTATTTTGTTTCCCACTTCAATAAAATTGTTTTCATATATCTAACTAGTTTATATATTCCTAAAAAATAACTACTTACTTCATTGAAAATCTCTCACAATCTTTTGTCTCATTCACTAACTGACTTATATTGTAAGATTTGAAAACATAAATGCTTAATTTTTTTTATCTATCAGATAAATCTTGACTCACACAACAAAAAGAATTATGCAATTCAATGTAGGTATTCAAACCAACTACGCTAATGAACGTCAACAGAAAAGATGTTAAATTGACTCTAAATCAGTGATTCCCAAAGTGGTCTATATCGACCCCTAGGGGTCTATGACAACCTGCAAGGGGTCTATGTCAGCGAAAACATAAATTGGGGGTCCATGAAACGAAAATGGGGGCCCACGATAGTGGATCTCAACACATACACTGATAGTACCTATTTACTTACATCATACTATCTTATAATATCAAAACATATACATTATATTGACTTATTGCTTATGTTATTTTATTTATAGTTTATTTTATGTTTATTTAATGCTACGTATATTTTACATAACAGATACAAAATTTTATTTTGAGTAGTTTTAATTTAAATTCAATTAATAAATGTATAAATTAACATGTGTTTTTACTTTAAGTTTTTAACACTAAACTTCACTACAGTTAGAAATTTACAGGAAATCAATATCAGGTAAGTAGGGGGTCTACCCAACACGGAAAACATGGCAAGGGGTCTACGACACAAAAAAGTTTGGGGAACTCTGCTCTAAATGTATATTTACTACCAGTTCGCAAGTCAAGGGCGTAGAGCGGGCAAGAAGAACTGACAAGAAACTCTCCGCTACTATTTTAAGTCGCCAAGTTTTGATTCATACAAATTGTTTGAACTGGAGCAAATCAATACCAAGGATCATTTAAATAATCATCAAGTTTATAAAAATCTTTATTGATTAATTTATTTGTGCATACAAGGTTTCACACACTTTAGTGGATTATTTCTTGTCAATCAATGTACCTACTGGGCATACTTATCTATTACTATTATTATTACTCTAAATTTAAATTTTAATGAGTTAAATTTCATGGGCCATAATTATTTGAGAATACCTACAACATATACTAATAAATAGGCTCGTCCTTTTTGTAAAAAAGGAACGGGTCGGAAAGGCGTCCACCGCTGGCGAAAGTAAAATCTGTCTGCAGCCTACAATAAAAGTCCATGATAAAATCTTTATAGTGTTAAGCTTAATAAATGGTCCTTAACACTCAGCTTCCATGTGTAAACTAACTAACATGTGTACCAAGAAGAACTATTCGCAACAATGCTTAATTGAAGTTTAAAGACATTAATTTCGTTAATGCGACGATTTCACCTCGTCTTGGCAACCTGAGTACTGTGACTTTGTTGCGTTAATGTTGCCATAAAATAAGATCTACAATTATTCAGTCGACACTTCGTTTGCAACGTTAACGAGCAATGGCTACAATTTACACTTGCTGCTAAATTAGAAGCGGCCTATAACCAAATGTATTAGACAGCTTGTGACTTCCTCAACTGCTTATTATGTTTTGATGAAAGTATTTTAAGGTTCTCAGATCTGACAAATCTGCTAGACATAAAATAATGTTTTTAGAAACTGTGAATAATTTAAGCCTCGAACGCAACAGTACTAAGCCAAATATAAAACGAAATATCAAAATATAATACTCCAAGATCGAAATAACATATACCTACCTACTACTTGAATGTATTTTAATGCATATCTTTCAAAAGATGTGTAGGTACAACAAAAACTTTAAGGTCTTTAATCGATATTTATGAATATTTAAGTTGGTCCTCGAGGGAGAATTATGTAGGAGTTGGCATTACTGAGGTATCAAAGTACCTACAATGAAAAATCACAAGCGTTTCCTTAGTATAATTATTGGAAACCCAGTATTTTTTCTTGTAAAGGGATTTATCTAAATTATTTAATTATAATTTTTTACAAGTTTACCATACAGATTCTTAATAATTTGTATACAAGCTAAAGTAAAGAACTCACTGAAGAAGTCATTTCATCACTTATTTATGGATTATGTTAATAGTACCTGCTTACCGGATCCACTGTTTTCCATTTGACATAATGTTGGCAATCATTGTTTCTAAAACGGACTACATACTTATTGTAGCAATAAACTTAGGCCTCCCGCGGCGGGGGCGCGGCGGTCTCTTTGATGATTTAGGGGCGTGGAACTCTAGTTCCGAGTGACACACGTGCACTACTGTGCGAAATGGGACAATAACGTTGTAGCTAACTCATAGCTTAATCTTTTTATTAAATATATCAAATGACATCACTAAATTAAACAAATCAAACAAACTGACATTCGTCTTCATGTTGTTATGTATGCCATCATGATTCTACTAATTGAACAGCTTTCTACGACATCTAACGATAAAACCATTTATTTACTACTATTAGATCGTTAGTTCTGTGCACATGTTTGTTCCCGCTGTACCTACATATTAGGTCCTTACATATGAAATTGGCGTTTTGTATGGGAGGAACAAAAAGTCTAATATTTTTAAATATAATATATTTAATTAATCAAAGTATGAACCATTGTTTTCTATGCACTTTTGCCAACTCATAGGTAGTTCATTGATCCCTTTACTAAAAAAACCAGTCGGACGGGAATCAATAAAATCTGTGAAGGCGATTTGGACTGCCCCATCAGAGTTAAATTTTTTCCCTTGCAAGAAGTTGTCCAAATTTCGAAAAAAAATGGTAATCTGTTGGAGCAAGGTCCGGGGAGTGCGGAGGATGTCTTAGACATTCCAATTGAAGCTCATCTAATTTGGTAGCCTTCTGTTGTGCAGTGTGTGGTCTAGCGTTGTCGTGAAGTAGCAGTGGCGTGGAGCGATTGACCAGCCTAGGTTGTTTAGCCGCTAGCTTTTCCATCATGGTCTGCAATGGCTGACAATTGACATCAGCCGTAATAGTCTGGCCAGATTTGAGAAAACTGCAATGAACAATACCGGCACTAGTCCACCAAACGCTTACAAGTAACTTTTTTTGGGTTAATTTTCGCTTGGGGCAGGATTTGGCTGGCTGGCCAGGATCCAACCATTGCGCTGAGCGCTTCCGATTATCGTAAAGAATCCATTTTTCATCACAGGTAATGATTCGGTTTAAAATACCTTCATTATTGTGCCGGTTCTGTAATGTAACGCAGCACTTTGCCGGTTTGCTTCAGTCAATTCGTGAGGTACCCATCTTTCAAGCTTTTTAATCTTCCCAATTTGCTTCAAGTGAATTAAAACAGTTTTATCACTAACACCGCAGCCTACAGCTAACTCGGACGTGGTTTGCGATGGATCCGCTTCCACAATAGCCTTCAATACTTCATTATCAACTTGGGTTTCAGGCCGTCCACGGGGCTTGTTCTGCAGGTCGAAATTTCCAGAACGAAAACGTTGGAACCAAAAACGAACTGTGTTTTCTTTTGCAACATGACCGCCATACACATCATTCACCCTTCGAGTCATTTCCGCAGCACTAGTGCTACGGCGGAACTCGTACTCGTAAATAATGCGATACTTTAAGTTTTCCATTTTGTAAAATGCGTGACGCAAACAGAAAAAAACAGAACAAAAAAACAAATGAATGACGGTCACCGAAGCACAAATACATGAGTAAATAGCTGTACAAATATGAATTTGGAATTCCTTACCAAAGAGGTGAACATCGTGATTAAAGTGGTCAGTACGAAATACGCCAATTTCATATGTAAGGACCTATTATTTGCGGACGTTGAACCGAAAAGTCCTAAGTAAATATAATATAAAAAATACTAATGACGAGCTTGTCAAGTGAATTTTGAATTAAACTATTAATTCTCTATTTTAACTTTGTGTGTACTATTCTGGTTGTGCTTCGACGGAATCAGAATGTTTATAAAAGTCCAATAAAGCGAGAAGCCCGCGGCCATACTTAAGTGGGCGTGTCTTTGGGCGGTAAGTCCTAATTGTTTATGTAATTTTCTGATTTAATTTACCTTAGATTATACCTTAGAAGTTGTCCATCTTTATTGTATTTTTTTACAAAAACACATTTTTCTTATATGTTGAGATAATGAGCAGTAGTCACACTTCGATGTTCCAAAATAATGGTGTGCGTAAAACATATTTCTATCAAATTCTGATAGGTTGCCATAATATACATAAAGATTTGAACTATTTTGATCCTCTTCAAACACAATGTTAATTAGGATAAAATTATCACTTTAACGTCTTATTATAGCAAACAGTGAAGGAAACTCGACATCAAAAAGCGTAAACGTTCAAATTAAATATAATATTTTAGTGGCGTTTCAGAATGTTAATGAACCATCGATCCCTTTGTTCCGACGCAAACCGTGGTTGTTTAACATGAGCAGCGATATATT